TTTTTTTTTTTTTTTTTTGGTTTATTTCTCATTCTACGCGTTGTTCTGAGATATATTTCATCTGGGCTTGTTTTGCAGCTGATTTTCTTGAATCCCATTTGATTTTTTTACGGATTTTGAGGTGTGTGTGAATAGGTGCGGGCTTTTGTACATATCCGTATACATACATACATACAATGGGGGCAGTTTGTTCAGCAGGAACTGTAAAGAAAAGTAGGAAACCAACCGATTCGGAGCAGGAGCAAAGCTGCGGTTTTTCTGGGAAGCTGAGATCCATTGGGAGTTTTGGGAGGCATAAGAAGAGTGATGATCCTTATACGTATACTGATGCAATCGATGTTTTTGGGAAGGAGAATTTGTACGATTCCGGCGAGCTGCACCTCTCGATTTCGCGGGAGTTGAAGGCGTCAACGCCGATGAGAGCACCTGCTAACAAGGTATATATATAGATATCTGTGGTAATCTGAACGTAATATGTGATCTTTTGGCCTGTTCTGTTCATGATATCGGATTAACCGTGGCTGATTTTGCGATCTGTTTGTGGGGAAAGAAGAAAAGAGTTCGATATGTAGAGATTGGATGTTTGCCGGGTTGAATTTTCAGCGAGTCGCTAATTCTACACAGGCAGTGGACTTGATTTTGGGTCGAGCCGATTATAAGTTATTATGAGTATTTGGTCTATATTGCTTGTGATTGTTTCGCAAAATTAGACTTTTAGTGTAGATATCAGTTTGTTGTTTTAATGATAGCATTATATTATGAGAAAGGAGGGAGCTTGTGCAGATTCTAATTATCATGGCGGATGCCAATAATAAATTATAGTCCACGCGTAATCTGGTGTGTTTCTATTCCACACTTCTCGTGCAGATTAGCTGCAGAAAGAAGTTGCCAAAAAAAAATGAGAAGGGGTTAATTACTTCTTTCCAGCATTCTAGACATCTAAAGACCACAAATTCTGAACAATGCCATTCAACGATCATCCTTATGCAAAGATTACGAAACCACGATGGTCTTGGATGTAAATGCGAAACAATTTTGACAAGTGATGTGAAATTTAATAGAATCTCAAGAGAGGATCATGGATGTTTACCTTCCTCATATTGTTTACTACTGCATTGATTGTCTACATTTGTGCTTTGGCTATATTTTAGAAGTACAGTGTGTGTTTTTTTCGAGAAACTACCATGATTGTAATGATACAATTCTGCATAGATCATATGTCTACTGCTCGGACGTTCAACCCCTAGCATTTTCATTTAATCTTATGCTTCGTTCAATTCAACCAAATTTCTAAACTAAAAATATACTAAGTTCACTTGTGTTCAAGAATTTGAAGATAACTTAGTTATATTGTTTTGACAGAAATGTTAACTTATGTTAATGTTTTTTTTATTTTTTACGATAGGCCCCTCAATCGACGTCATTTCTTGGCAAAGCGGGCATAGTTGGTCTAGAGAAAGCTGTTGAGGTTTTAGATACTTTGGGTAGCAGCATGACGAATTTGAACTCCGGTGGATTTACAACTGGCGTGACCTCAAGAGGACATAGAATAACCATACTAGCATTCGAGGTTGCTAATACCATAGCCAAAGGCTCAAACTTATTGCAGTCTCTATCCGAAGAGAATATTCAGTTTCTGAAAAAGGAAGTTTTGAATTCAGAAGGTGTTCGGAAGCTGGTTTCTACGGATATGGATGAGCTCCTCAGTATTGCTGCTGCTGACAAAAGGTCAAAAAAAAAAAAA